ATGCTCATATATGCACATCATTAAGAGTGATGCGTTTGGGAACAGGTCATAGCCGAGATCATAATTTCAAATTATTGAAATAATTTCAAAACTGCTTTTTTCAAAATTGATATTAAGTTCCATAACCATTAATCTAATTTACCACTGGCATAACATCTAGTTATTCTAGATGTTATGCCAGTGGTAAAATTAGATTAAAATGTAGGGTTTTTTTGGGTTTTTTTTTTTTTTTTTCCTTTCCTTTTATTCTTTCTAATAGATTTGGAAATGAATATCAGACTGCGAGAAGGAACCATTTAACATTTAATTCATTTAAAATGGTATACTGAGCACCAGTATGTGCTCTGCCCCCAAAAGAATTCACAGTCCAAAACCAGGAGCAAGGCAGCAAACATCATCTTCCCCAGTGTGATGATATATGATAGAGGTTTGAACAAAACACTGTCACAATACAGGGAAATAACTGCTGTGAGTGTGTGGAATGCTTCACATAGACAGCTGATCTGAGCCATTAGCGAGAAGTCAAGTTGAAGGACAAGGACAGCAGTGCAAAATGTGGATTGTGTCATAATCTGGCAGAGTTGGATCTGTGAGTTTAAAATGAAATAGTTACTGCTGAGATAACATTTCTTTTCTTTGCAAGGATACACGTAGTAAGCATGCACAAGAGAGGAGTGTAAAGAAGTGCCTAGGCCTCCTGTTTAATTATTTTGCTTTGTTCTTAATCTTTATTTTCTTTTGGAATCTGCCTAAGAGTTATAGCAACTGATGGTGAGAAACTAAAACTGGTCCCAATGTTAAATAAGTGCAGCATTTGAATTAAGTCTCAATTAAGTTGTCCCTATACTGATATTATTTCCCTAGATCCAGAAACTGACTCTATTAAAGGAAAAAATCTGATACCAATTTTTTTAAAAAGGAGGAATGTGGGAGAAAGCATGAAAATGGCTAATGGGAAAACTTATTTGTGTTACCTCTCTAAAGGAAAATATATTTTTTATTTTTTCAATTGTTGAACCTTTCCTCCACCCTCAGGAGTTGTGAACAGATGTGTGTACAGCACAACCAAGGCAGCCGTGATAGGCCTCACAAAGTCTGTGGCTGCAGACTTCATCCAGCAGGGCATCAGGTGCAACTGTGTGTGCCCCGGTGAGTAAGGCACTGCAGGGCTGGGAACTTGGCGTTTCTGACACTGTTTGCCACCATGAAAGATATCTACAAAAGTTTGTTTACTATATGTTATATTGTACTCTGAGGAAAAAAAAGGGAGTTGAGGCTGGGCTTATTAAGATAACAGTAGAGTTGTAAGTTGAGAAGGAGATCCTAAGTCATTGGGAACAAGCCACAGCTGCAAAAGGCTTACATGCTACTCATGTGTTGGACAATTCAGAATCAAGTAGCTAAGAGGCATAGTTGGCCAGACTTGCTGTTGGGAAGCAGACCAGAGTTGACCTTTGCAGGGTAAAGATATCAAAGGAAAGATGAAAATAGACCATGCTCGGTCGGGTACAGTGGCTCACGCCTTCAGTGCCAACACTTTGGGAGGCTGAGGCAGGTGGATCACTAGGTCAAGAGATCGAGACCATTCTGGCCAACATGAAACCCCGTCTCTACTAAAGATACTGGAATTGGCTGGACATGGTGGCGCATGCCTGTAGTCCCAGCTACTCGGGAGGCTGAAGCAGGAGAACTGCTTGAACCAGGGAGTCGGAGGTTGCAGTGAGCCGAAATCGTGCCACTGCACTCCAGCCTGGCAACAGAGTGAGATGTCATCTCAAAAAAAAAAAAAAAAAAAAAAGAAAGAAAGAAAAGAAAACAGACCATGCTCAAAGGACAGCAGGAAAAAGTAAGGGGAGCCTCCCAAAACACAAGGATCCACTAAAATCACTTGAACCACTGGGGTGGCCTATAAATAAAAAGGAGGCATTAACCTTCCTTTATGCTATAGAAAGAGGGTCAGCAAACCACAGCCTATGGGACACATCTGGGTCACCACCTGTTTTGTAAGCAAAGTTTTATTGAAACACTTCCACAGCCAATTTGCCTATGTATTGCCTATAGCTGTTTTCATGCTATAATGGCAGAGTTTAGTATAATAGTGGCAACAAAGAAAATGACTCTCAAAGCCATAAATATTTGCTACTGCCTCTTTAACAAGAAAGGTGTGCTGATCCCTCATACAAGGGAAAGAAGAAAAGCAGAACTTTCTTATCTTAATAAATGCGGCTATGTCTCATTTTCTCAATAACTGTAGATGTGTTTATTAAATTGATAGCCACTTTTACCTGGTTCTACCAATCTAAAATGAACATAGGGTATCTAATAAGGATATTAATGTTCTTTAAAAAGAAATTAACTATTGCATATCCAGGATCAAGATTTCCCTCAGTTGTGTACACTTGATATGAGACAGGGAGTGTGAAAGGGAAACATTTCAATACAACCTGGGAACCTTTCATACCTGAAGGGCATGCCACAATTTAGGGAAGGAGTTCACAGAGAGAATTGTGTTGTTTAGAAAGTCTCACAGGAGATTTTGATTGAATCTTCATTTGAAACCCACAGACTCAAAGAGGGAAAACCAAACATCTCCCAAGCTACAGAATTTCAGTGATTGAGATGATGTTTTATTTTAATCTTGGTACGGAAATGTAAACACAGATCACACTAAGGAAAAGAATAATACATGAGAGGTCATTTCAATGGGTTTTGAGGTACACCCTGGTGATGCTTGAGTCTAGCTATTCTTGGTGCCATTTACCCAGTGGAAAGAATGGTAAAATGATTTGGAAAATGTGGTTGTGTCAGCGACTGGACTTATCAGAAGATTGGAAAATATGTTATCAAACTCTTTGGAACAAGGAACTAGCTGTGACTCAGCAAACCAATCACAGAAGAAAACTTGAGGAGGACTGAGTATGTCTCAGATGGTGCTGATGGTTGTATAGTCAGAAATCTCCAGCCAGACTTGTGTAGACCCTGGCATAGTATGTCTGTGCCATGGACACAGCTGAACCCAGTGACACTGGAGTCCTCTAAAGGCATGGGCTTGCTCTACAGTTTTTATTTAATAGCCATTAATACCAGTCAAATGAAGACATGATGTTCATTTACCTCAGAGGGAGAAAGCTGTTAAAGCTGTAAGGATTTCGAGGAGATTGTTAGGGAAAGCGTGAGGTGCACACTGGTCATAAAACTGTGGACTTTAAGGAAGCTACTGAGGGAAGTGAGGAAAATATTATTGAAAATTAGATAAAAGGGGATCTTTGTCATACAGTTTCAGAAAATATATCAACACTGTTGCCTGTAGTGTGAAGGAAGGTAGAAGATGTTACTGATGAACTGGGTGATGTAGCTAAGGCGATTTCTACCCAGAGTCTTGAAAGTGCTGCCTGCTTATAGTAAAAGGTGACAAGAGACAGATAACGTAAATAGGGGGTTCCAAAAAGGAGCTAGGCTTTCTGATTTTGAGCTTCACGAGAAAAAATAGCAAATGATGCTAAAATTAAGAAATGTTTTATGAGCAAAGATCAAATCCATTGCACTCTCAGGAACGTGATCTAAGGATGAAGTATAACTGTAAAACCATTTGTTGCAACCTCGGAAGGATCACATCATTTGCCAGAGTACTGTTTAGTGTGAAAAAACGGCCTCTAAAGAGAATGTACCGTTTATATGAGTTAATAAAAAAGTCTGGGGAACTTGCTCTAGGAGACCAAAAACTAAGTGGAATTTTAAATTTTTAGTGTTTTCTTTTTTAAAGTAAAATAAATTTAGAATATATTCAATTATAGTTTTGATTAAAAACTTGAAACAGTGGTTAAAAGTAGGAATTTGAAACAATGAAAATAGGCAAGGTGATGAGAAAAATTTAGTGCCACGTGAATTACCAAGGACTATGGCAGCCATGGGATTGTCCCCAAAGATCCCACAGTGAACTTGACAGCAGAGAATGGTTTTGAGATCATTGAGTCAAACTGGATCCTTAAGCTGGCAAAGTGCTTGTATGATTTTATCTACATCTAAGGGTTACTGTGAGAATTACTGAGATAATATATATATGAAAATATTTAAAATCCATAAAACATTATATAAATGCAATGTGACTGAAACTGAAATATATGTCCTTGAGAATGCTGGGTGATTCACCAGAGTCCCTACAAAGAATCATAGTCTGTTTTTAAAATCAAAGAAATGTTATTGAAGAAGTTATAAGTCTATTAAATAAGAGGCCTCAGGCAGTCAGATGTGAAGTTGCCATTTTAAGTCAAGGAGAAGAACCTCACTGATTGTTTTATCATATGGAAAGGAAGCTTTTAGTTATCAATTTCTTTTTCAGTTTAAGCGAGTAACCAAGCTGAATATCCCCCTTTGATTTAGGAACGGTTGATACCCCATCTCTACAAGAAAGAATACAAGCCAGAGGAAATCCTGAAGAGGTATATCTAGCATTTAAAATGTGTTTAAACCTTTGGTTAATAAATGCCCTCTTCCATACCTATAGCAGACAAATTCATAGAGACAGAAAGTGAAATGGTAGTCACCAGGGGCTTGGAAGGAGGGAAAGGAGTAGTTAATGCTTAGTGAGCAGAGAGGTTCTGTTTTTCAAGATGAAAAGAGCTCTGCTTGGGAAGCTGAGGCTGGGGTGCTTGAGCCCAGGAGTTTGAGGTACAACAGCGAGCTATGATCACAGCACTGCACTCCAGACTGGGTAACAAAGCAAGACTCTCTAAGAAAAAAAAATTAATAAAAATAAAATAAGAGTTCTGGAGACAGACAACGGTGATCGTGACACAACAGTGTGAATGTACTTAATGACAGTGAACTGTACACTTAAAATGGTTAAGATAGTAAATTTTATGTTATGTATACTTTACCGTAACCTTCAAACATGAAAAAAATAATGCCCTCATCTTTAATGTTAGCTTTCTGATCTGTCACAGTATCTGTGGGTTTTAGTATAACACAAATAATTTGAGTAACTTTGGGAAAAGACTCACCATAACCCTAGTTGATTATTCATCAAGGCAGCAAACCAGTGGATTCTCTTGCCTTTGACTCTTTGGAGAAGATGCAGGTGAGCACATGCAGCTGCTCACGTGACTGATGTCTGATATGGTCTCTGGTCACAGGCACGGAATGATTTCCTGAAGAGACAGAAGACAGGAAGATTTGCAACGGCAGAAGAAATAGCCATGCTCTGTGTGTATTTGGCTTCTGATGAAGTAAGCACTATTCTTTCCAAGGAGTTCATTATCTTCAATCACATTTGGCCACAATTTGCTCATCAAAATAATACCATTTTAGAGAGTTTATGGCATATATATGCTAAGATGCTACATTTTTAAGATAGGGATAAATTCTCATTTAATTTGCTCGAAGAAAGACCACTTTGATTTGAGCCACTAACTCCTTCTCACTCAGCTTTACCATAACATCTTGAAGCAAACAAAATGGAGGACTAAAAAAATGAAAGTGCTCAATTTTCTAAGAGACAGTTCCTTTCAAAAATTATAATTGGGGAAACCCTGATTAAATGTAAGTCAAACAAATGAACCTCTAGGATTATAAGAGCTTTAAGTGAAATGGGGAGAGGATTAAGCAGATTTGTGTTCAGTGGACACAGAATTGGTGTGTGGTGTTTTAGTTTTACTTGGGACTTGTTTGGGAGAATTCCACTGGCTCTCTTTTCTCTATTAATTCTTACCTGTGGCTGGGCGCGGTGGCTCATGCTTTGAATCCCAGCACTTTGGGAAGTCGAGGCAGGCAGATCACCTGAGGTCAGGAGTTTGAGACCAGTCTGGCCAACATGGCGAAACTCTATCTCTACTAAAAATACAAAATAACCAGGTGTGGTGGCGGGCGCCTGTAATCCCAGCTACTCTTGAGGCTGAAGCAAGAGAATCGCTTGACCCTGGGAGGCAGAGGTTGCAGTGAGCTGAGATCCTGCCATTGCACTCCAGCCTGGGTGACAGAGCGAGACTCTGTCTCAAAATAAATAAAACAAAATTTTTTTAAATTATTATTTGTTCGTCATCGTGTATGGAAATTTCTAATTTAACCTCTTCCATTTTGCATCTGTTTAAGTTTTTTCCTTAATGGCTATTGTATACTTTTAAATGGCTTAAGATGAAAGCAAAAATGATGTTTATAAGGTATAGAGCACAAGAACATCCTCCTCTGTTTTACGTCTTTGAATACTATATAAACAAGGAACTATAATGTGTGAGAAGGGGGAAGGAAAGGGGACTAGTTGGGAGTGAGGAGGGAACAACTGATAGCTCCTCTTCCCAGTAACTTGGTGCACACCAGGTTGTTGACGAATGTGACAGATACAGGGGTTGAAATGTTTCCGTGACAGCACAGTTTCTTCTCAGAACTTCTCCCAACTATTAACAACAATTGTTAATAGCTGGAGAAATTAATAGACAAATGTTTAATGGAGAAGTAAATGAGCCTTTGTGATTTCTCGAAATCCATATCTTCAGAAAAGCTCATTTGATTTGGGTACTGCTGATAAGCTAAATTACTGCTGATAAGCTTAGTTAGCCAGAGCTTAGGTTACAAAATATTTGGAAGAATTCTGGCTTAAAATGTGCTACAAAAGTAACTTTGGCTTTTTAGAGGTGTCCAGAGGAGTTTATATGTATAACAGAGCTTGCCTTTTAAAAGAAATTGGGGGAGCTGGAGGCATTTATTTGGTAAAGTGCCTAACAACTCCCTAGTTCACCTACTGAATATTACCAACTTTTATATATTGAACTCTTAAAGTTTCTCTATTTATTATGATTGTCCTTACTTCCTCTTCCATTGTTTCGGGCTTTAGATGAGTTTAGAACTGATTGAGTCTTTATTATCCATTTTAAGTTAAAGGATTTTAAAGCTCCTACCAAAAAGATCACTTCAGCCTTAACTTTTAGAAAATGAATAATTTATGGGAATAAACCAGTAATTATTTTTTAAATTCTTTAGTTTTATAAAGATTTGTATGTCTGAAACTAATATAGAATATTTGTATCGCTTAATAGATTATAGTTATTCATGTAAATTTTTAAAACATTTAGTATGCTTCAGCTCTTGGAATTATCTACTTATATTGACTAACTAAATATATGCTGTCTTTTTTTAAAAAACTGGTCATTAATATGACCATTTTATGACTGATACACATGTTCAAAAGTTTATTAGTGGCATAAAATTTAGCTAGTTTTCAATAGTTCTGAGTTTTAAAATGAAAATGTGCATTTAGCCTATATCCTAATTGGGAAATGGCTATATATCACCATTCCTTAATTTTGGGATTCTGAGACCGAACACCTCACAGTGACATACGCTTAGGCACCAGCCAGAAGCCATTTAGTTCCAGATCACAGAACTCAGCAGTTCTGAATCAACCAAACTTTAATTTGGATTTCCCTGAATGAAGTGTTCAAGCGAGGTGTCCTGTTAGGACAAGAGTAAATTGTGTAGTTATCCTAGTCATAGGAAAATTTGAAAATACAGCCTGTATCAAACCTGGTTAATTGTTTTGTCTCCTTGTGTTTATCACTGCAGTCTGCTTATGTAACTGGTAACCCTGTCATCATTGACGGAGGCTGGAGCTTGTGATTTCAGGATTTCTGTGGTGGGAAGGAAGGCAGCCCCTTCCTGTCTGCAGTGAATCTGGTTATGAAGAAAACTCGCCAATCATCTCTTTCCTATTAATGACATGTTAATGAAAATAAGCCCTTTTTAATAATGTCACTGTTTGCAAGAGTCTGATTTTTTAAGTGTATTAATACCTTTGTAATCTCTTCTAAAGTCACTGTAAGGAAATGAAATAAAAGTGTTGAACTCATTGCGAGAGAATAGTTTTTAAAATAAACCTCAATTTGTAAGAATCTGTCATAGTCACTTTGGGCTGCTACAAAAAATTACCATAGACTGAGTGTCATAGACAAGAAACATTTCTTTTTCAGTCTGGAGACTAGGAAGTGCAAGATAATGTGTGAGCAGATATGGTATCTGGTTAGGGCCCACTTCCTGGTTTGCAGATGGTGATCTTCTTGCTACATCCTCACATAGCAAGAGCAGAGAAGAAAGGCAAACTCTTATGTGTCTTTTTAAAAGGACACTAATCGTGTTCATGAGGGCATTACCCGTATGACCGGATTACCTCCCAAAGGCCCGCTTCCTAATGTATCATATTGGGGTTTAGGATTTCAACACATGACTTTGGATGATACAAACAGCCAATTGCAGCATATAGAATTAAAATGTAAATATGAAGAAAAAAGGGTTTTTTGTTTTTTGCTTCTTTTAAGGAAGAAGATAGTAATTTCAGAACTAGGAGAGCTCATGCCTGTAATTCCTGCACTTTGGGAGACCAAGGCAGGAGGATCACTTGCTGCCAAGAGTTCAAGACCAGCCTGGTTAACATAGGGAGGATTGCTGAGGCAGGAAGTATCATGTCACTGCACTCCAGGGTAACAGAGCAAGACCCTGTAGCTAAATAATAATTCCACTTTATTCTATTTTTCATTGTTCAAATATTTTTATATAATTCTGCATTGTTCTGTATGTAGATCCTAATGTTAAAATTTTACACCATCATAAATGAACAGTAAAGGTAGGAAGGAGTTTGGCTTCAATAACTTATAGTAAAAGGAGTAAAGGAGTTCTAAATTGTCAATCTGTTACATTATGAAAAATAATTCAGGGTTTATACTTAATGGATGTCATCCCTTATTAAATACTATTTTCTCAGTCTAAACAATCTTTATTAAAATAACCAATGATACATGACATGGGCCTAAGAAATATATAGTTAGCTAACTGACAATATTTCAGTTTGAGGGATTTCTATTTTAGATTAAGTACAGATTTCTTCATCAAACTCCAGAGTAACAGACAAGAGGTCATAAAATTTGGACATAGTCTCTGGATAAACAAATGTAAATTTATAAATCATGTAACAGGAAACATGAAATTAAAGAAAATAAATTTTCAAGAAAAAGTTTATGGATAATAATTCTATAACATTGTCAGGGCAAAGTCTTTTCATTTTAATTTAAGGGTTTTATGTTTGTTTTTTACTTGTTGCAGCCTCAAAGAACCAAATGGTATGATGAACACTGAGATAATAAATGTGCAGTTACTCTTAGCTGTTTTTCCTAAAAGTTTAATATTAACAAGGAAAATTTTGAAATGGACAATGAAAAGACAACACTTTATGTATGAGTAAGAATATCATGCCGTTGATAAAAGGTAGGTTAAAATTCACACAAAAGGATATTTTAACTAGCATTCCGAAAGAGTCCATTGATTATAAGAATATCTCTGTGCTTTTGGACCAGGCATTACATACTGAATTATGGATAACTGTGGTTTGTGACCTAGACCAAGTCACCCAATTTATCTTGGATTTTAGTTTTCTGGTTTGTGAAATTAAGGAGTTAAGCTAAATCACCTGGGTGTCTTTTTGTGTATCATAATCAAAATGCTGTAACTTCTCTACTGAATTCTAGACACTGACTCTTTCAGATATGCTATGAAATACTTTATGCTGTGAGTAGGTATACATGTATAATATATGTATAGCTGTGAACAAATTAATTCTAAAAAATGTACAATGCATTCTACAAAATGGGCTCCAACATTAACAAATGCTCTAAGTTAGTCTTTTTTGGAGCTGACCATAAACTGTAAAACATGTTTATAAATACTATCAGCAATAAAAACGAAGTAAAATCTAGCCAAAAAATTCAATGTTCCCCGAAGTCATGTTAATCAAATCAGGTGATATATTAATGAAGGACTTAAGACTAAAAGGAAAAATATATGTCATTCCTGTGGTAAGAGGAAGCTGAATGCCACTAGAAATTTTTGCAAGCTTTAGGAGAGGAAGAGTTCAGTTTAGGAAAACAATCGTTTCAGATGATCTGAAGGGTATTGGATGGAACCTAGGTTCATCACAAAAGAGGACGTGAGAGACAAGAATGAATGCTTTCTGTCTGGTGGAGAAATTTGAGGATAGTCTCCCTTGCCTGAAAAGCGGTGATTAAAATTGGCACTTGCTTACAGGAGTGAAAAACAGGTAAGGGGTGCGCGCGTCTACACACACAGAAGAGGAAATACGGAGAAAAGGAAGACACAAATATGAAATAACAGTTAAATAGAATCACACTGGAGGTGTTAATCGATAAAGGGCGGGGGGGGCGCAGAACAAGTCTTTCATCTCGCCATTTAATTGGTCACCTTAAGAAGGAATCCTATCTTCCCACCGCAACTGAGAAGACACTTCCAAAAAAAAGCACAGCTCACAGGTGGAGTACTGATATACAACTTACAGGTTGGTTTCAGCAACGATAAGCAATTGGCTGCCCCGCTTGCGCCGCGGAGTCCCAGGGAGCCTGCGCTGCGCTCCTCGCGCCGGGTCTGATCATCTCCGGGAAGATTCGGCGCCTGGGTCCGCGCTCCCTGGGTAAGCTTTCCCGGAAGCTTCCCCGGGAGCGCGCTGGTCCCGGCAGCAGCAGCCCGCGGACCCGCCCAGTGAGGATAAGCAGATGAAAGGCCACGCGGTGCGGCTCCGAGGCCCTAGGATGTGGGCCCGTGGTTGGCATGGCGCCACCTGCCCGCTGCCCGACCTGAAACCCGGTGGAGGGCACACGGGGCGACCGCTGCGGGCCCCAGACCAACCCGGGCTTGCTCCAGATCCTGTACGGGCGCCGACGGGTCGGACCTTCCTGCGCTGACTCGCCCCGAGGGTGTGCGCGAAAGGCACGCCCGCCTATACGCGGTGCCGCGCCCGGGAGCCGTTTATCTGCAATCCTCGCTGCCTCACGGCTCAGCTTGGAACGATGCGCAAACCGGGAACCCCAGCGCTCGGGTGGCAAGACCAGGCTCCGCTGCCTTCCTGACAGCCTGTTTCCTAATCCGACTGAGCCTGGTCGACTCCGCTGGAGACTGCCAAGTGGGAGGCCCCGAGACACTAAGGGTAAAAATAAACCCAGCGCCCGCGGTGGAGACCCTGTAGGCCTGCTGGTTTGGGGACGAGAGCAAGGGCCAGCCTTTTCTGTTTGTTCACTCGGCAACGTGACGCGCGCGTGTGTTTACTCTTGTCAGGTGTTGGCGTGGGTTTTTCTTGCTTGCTTTTATTTTAGTTCTCAGATTAACCAGAGGGTCTTGCCTTTGTGGACTAGGTTAGCATTCTTGAGGTGCTAAGAATCATCAAATGCTATTGACTGGAGAAGATAACCTTAAGACAACAATAGCTGCTTTAAGAGATAAAGTAAAAAATCTCAGTAGCTCAACGTAGTTCAGGCTTATTTTTCGTTCATGTTAAGTCCATTCACGTGTTCAGCTGGTGGCCTTCTACTCAATGATTCAGGAACCGAAACTCCTTTTATATTATGGTTTTGCCATCCCCTAAGACCTTGGAGTGCTTAGTTTCCAGGCAACGGACAGAAAAAGAGAAGCTATGTAGAGGATTGCATGAAGATTGTTTCTTATGGCCGAGGACTGGAAATAACATACTCTTTATGCCCGCATCCCATTGGCCAAACTTCAGTCACATGCCACACCGACCTGCAAGGGAGACTGGAAATGTACTGTAGGCCCAGGCAGGAGAGGAAACAAATTTGGTAAACACATATCAGTCTCTGATCACCCCCCCTTAAAGGACAGACTGCCTCGTAGTCATCTTTGTTACTCTTGTGCTTAACGCACCACAGAAACTTGTTAAGGCTTTGGGAGGCCGAGGTGGGCATATCACCTGAGGTCAGGAGTTCGAGACCAGCCTGGCCAACATGGTGAAACCCCATCTCTACTAAAAATGTAAACATTAGCTGGACATGGTGGCGCACGCTCATAATCCCGGCTATTCTAGAGGCTGAGGCAGGAGAAACAGTTGAACCCAGGAGGCAGAGGTTGCAGTGAACCGAGATCACTCCACTGCACTCCAGCCTGGGTGACAGAGTGATACTCCGTCTCAAAAAAGAAAAGAAAATGAAACTTCTTAAGGGATAGAGTTGTTATTGCATGTGTCTTAAGTTGAAACTTAACCATATTTCATTACGATTGCTTAGGAATCATTTATCATTCTCTGACTAGATTGCGAGATCTAAATATAGGAACTATGTAAAACTGTTCACTTCTGAATCCTCAGCTCAAGGACTAGGACATAACAAGGGCATAATAGCTCTTGTTTGTTGAATGAATGAATGAATCCTCAGAGAGGAAAATGAGGGAGTTTGTCAATATTGGAGTTAGAAATACTGAGAAAGTGACATTTGAGTTAGATTTTGAATTTCTTCGAGTAGAAAAAGCAAGAAATGAAACTCCAGGCAGCAGTGGTAGTAATATTTTGTTGTTATTTTGTTTCATGAGTAGAAATTTGGAAAACAACGAAATGTTTGTAAGTCCAACTTTTCTTCATTCAGTATTCAAATATTACAATTTAACTTCAGGGTAGAGGAGGGGAAATATATAATCTTACAATCCAAATAATTTCTGTTCACTAAAAGAATGACAGTGAAAACCTTGGCACTAATTTTTAACTTTCTAAAATGTTACTTTCTGGACATTTTTGAGAAATTTCAACACAAAGGCAGTGCTCTGATCATTCATCCTCTGTGATGATTTTGTACTATATCAAGAAGGTAGAGAGGTAGAAGCTAGAGTTTATAAGCCGGAGGTTCCTCATTAATCCTCTTCATCAGGGCTCCTCCGGGATGGTTCTACAGCAAGATCACCTATTGTATTGGTTAGGATGCTTTTGGCTGCAAATAACAGCATATTCAGCCAAAAATCCGTTCAAAAATACTAATTTACTTTTCTCATACACGAAGATGTTTGAAGGTAGGTGGGTCAAGGGTTTGTTCAGTAGCTCAATAATATCTGGGCTCTAGGTTGCTTTCTGTGTTTGGCTAATCTTGCCTTTTCTTCATGCGTAAATGTTGGCTGCTGGAATTGTCCCAAGAAACCCATCTATAACCCCAACTTCCCTTGCCTCTTCACCTGGTCATTTAAAAACAAAAAGAGGGGAGAATTTTCCTCTTCTCTTTCTGTCTTTATTAAGAAGGAAAATCTTATCTAATGTGCCCCAATAGTCTTGCCTACAAATTCCAATGGCAAGAAATGAATCATGTTCAGTCCTTAATCAATAAGTGGCAATAAGGAATGGTGTTACAGGGATTTATTTAGACAAGTCCTGATTTATCCCAAGGGCTGGGGAAGGGATCCACTGGCCTACCTGAACACTTGTCATTTAGACAGTCAATAATTCATGTCTGTCCCACTTGGGGTAGATTCAGACTTTGTAGATTCTGATTTTAGTGGGCCTAGAAACAATATTTTAAACTTTTAATAAATACATTTCCCTTTGGTGAGGAGAGAGAATAGAAAGGATGAAAGCAAGTAATGGATCCCTTCTTATGTAGGGGCAATTTCCATGTATTCATATCTCATTATATAGTGTTTTGCTTCATGAGTCAATGAGATTACACTCAAAACAGTGATTGTTTTCCTTTGGTAACTTGGCCCCATGTATTTGACTCACCTAAGGCTTTCAGATAAGGTAGTCTCATTCAGGGAAACATTGTTAGTCATTTTGGTAATTAATTGTCAAAGAAAATTTTAAGCCCTACTCTGAGCCTGATCTGAATTCCTCATTGCTGGGTAGGGCTCCTTTAGGGAAATGAGAATTAGATCAGTGTTGATAAGCAAGTACAGAAACTGGAATGTTTCTGTATGTTCTATATAGAAATACGATATGAGACTGAGAACCTATACTTTCAATACATGAATAGATGAACACAAAGGTAGGAGACTGTTATTAGAATCATCATAGAATATTGAATAATCACTGTGATGCTCTTTCAAAGGCATGAACTCTAGCAATGTCTTAGTCTATTGTTGTTACTATAACAAAATACCACAAAGTAAATAATTTATAAATAATCAAAATTTATTTCTCACAGTTCTGGAGGCTGGGAAGTCCAAGGTCAAGGTGCCAATTAGATTTGACGTCTGTTTAGGACTTGATCTCTGCTTGTAAGATGGTGACTTCTTCCCATGTCTTCTTCACATGAAAAAAGAGACTAAGGCTATGTTCCCAGATGGTGGAAGGGAAAGAGCAAAAGGGACTAGGCTGCTCCTTTCGACCCCTTTTATAAAAGCACTAATCCTATTCATGGGGGTTGAGTGTTGGTGACTTAATCACTTTGCAAAAGTACCTCCCTCTTTAATACTATTACCTTGACAGCTACATTCCAACATCCAAATTTTGGAGGGAAACAAACATTCAAACCATAGCAAGCAATATATGTAAATTCTGCATAAGATTACCCCATTAAATGTCAGCCTATCCAAATCACAGACAGCAAATAACAAGAGTAAAAAGTCTTTATCCATATTTAGTAGTAATTGAAATGATAGCAGTAAGTCTGTTTTACTTGACTGAGAGCCTAAGGACATTCGCAAGTTGATAGTTCCTTTATTTCTTCTGGAATATTACAGAAAGTACTTGTAAACATTTAGATTAGTAAGATAACTTGAAAAAAGAGAATATTTAACAAATATCTATGTGAAACCATGTTTACAGAAATGGTTTCCACAGTATGCTTCACTTGCCAGAAGGAACAGAGGTGAGTAGACAGGGCTCCTGCAGCACCACCTTAGTTCCACTTGTAGGATTTAAGGATAAGGTTTCATTTGAGAAAAGGTATTTGGCTTAAAAATATGAAAGCCAGGGCTGGGCACGGTGGCTCACACCTGTAATCCCAGCACTTTGGGAGGCTGAGGCATGTGGATCACAAGGTCAGGAGTTTAACCAGCCTGGCCAACATGGTAAAACCCTACCTCTAGTAAAAATACAAAAATTAGCCGGGCATGGTGGCTGGTGCCCCTAGTCCCAGCTCCTCAGGAGGCTGAGGCAGGAGAATCACTTGAACCCAGGAGGCGGAGGTTGCAGGGAGCCAAGATCATGCCACTGCACTCCAGCCTGGGTGACAGAGCAAGAATCCATCTCAAAAAAAAAAAAAAAGTATTTAAAATTACATAAGAAAATCTTATTAAATCTTAATAATGTAGAAAATAAAAATGAAAGTCCAGCCACTCCTCTTCCATTTCCCTTCCCAAAGTCAACTGCTGTCAATGGACTTTTTTTTTCTGTTTACTTCCGTAACAGGTACGTATATCGAACTGCTTCTATTCTTGATCTTGAAAAGGGCAGTTTTCTTTCAAGTGGGGTGAAAAGATTAAGAAAACTTTTTTTTTTTTTTTTTTTTTTTTATACGGAGCCTCACTCTGTTGCCCAGGCAGGAGTGCAGTGTTGTGATGTCGGCTCAGTGCAACCTCCGCCTCCTGGGTTCAAGCAATTCTCCTGCCTCAGCCTTCCAAGTAGCTGAGATTACAGACACACACCACCATGCCTGGCTAATTTTTGTATTTGTTTAATAGAGACAGGGTTTCACCATGTTGGCCAGGCTGGTCTTGAGCTCCTGACCTCAGGTGATCCACCACTTCAGCCTCCCAAAGTGCTGGGATTACAGGCTTGAAACACCATGTCCAGCCAAGAAAACTTTATTTAATTTCATAGCTCTATAATTTTGGTGGCATATGTATGTAGTGCTAGAAAATAAAGTTCAAATTAAGCCAAGAGAGTTTCTAAATATGGGTGTCAGTCCCATAGGAAACTCTGAATATTGGGTATGCTAGAGAAAGGCATGAATGGCCTGCAGCCTTTGCATGTATTTTCAGAAAATACCTCACCTACTAACCGAGGAGCAAGCAGGCAGTCACATTAGTCATAACAGCCAAGTCCCTTGGCTTAGGCCAGACCTTACTCCTCTATTGAATTCTGTATTTGAGCCATAGAACCTTGACTGAATTCATGTTATTTATTGAATTTAAAGACCTATAAAATTTTGCCATTGGAAACAGACCAAGGTTTTTCTACTATAATTTACAAGTTATTTATCAGTTTAAATAATGCAATAGCTTCACTCAGAAGCCAAAAAAATATTTTGTTGCTGCATATAGGCACTTATAGTGTTTATCTAAAACAGCAATTCCAAATCCTTTTGGCACCAGGGACCAGTTTTGTGGAAGACAATTTCTCCATGGACTGGGGAAGGCAGGGATGGCTTCGGGAGGATGCATGCACATTATATTTATTGTGCGCTTTATTTCTATTATTATTCTGTTGTAATATATAATGAAATAGTTATATAACTTACCATAATACAGAATAAGTGGGAACCGTGAGCTTGTTTTCCTGCAACTAGATGGTCCCATCTAGGGGCGATGGGAGAGAATAACAGATCATCAGGCATTAGATTCTTATAAGGAGTCCGCAACCTAGATCCCTCACATGCATAGCTTACAATAGAGTTCGAGCTTTTATGAGAATCTAATGCTGCTTCTGATCTGACAATAGGCGGAGTTCAGGCAGTAATGCTAGAGATGGGGAACAGCTGTAAATACAGATGAAGCTTACTGGCTCACCTGCCTGCTGCTCACTTCCTGCTGTGTGGACCAGTTACTGACAGACCACCTGATACCAGCTCATGGCCCTGGGGTTGGGAACTCCTGATCTAAAAGATACCTTGCCTTCCTAGTTCTCAGTATAATTTTCTGATATACAAAAATCTCTCAAAACATTGCAGTTGAACTGGAATTTTTTAAAAACAAAAGCTCCTTAATTCTTAGAATCTTAAGACATGCCTAAATGGCAAGTTATCTCTTTAGTCTATTGATTAATAATTCATTTATTTTTCTTTTTTTGAGATAAGGTCTCATTCTGTTGCCCAGGCTGAGTGCAATGGCACAATTATGGCTCACTGCAGCCTCAGCCTCCAAGGTTCAAGCGATCCTCCCATCTCAGCCTCCCAAGTAGTGGGGCTAGAGGTGCACAGCACCATGCCCTCCTAATTTTTAATTTTTTTGTGGAGACAGTGTCTTGCTATGTTGCTCAGGCTCGTCCTGAACTCCTAGATTCAAGCAATCCTTTCACTTTGACCTCCCAAAGTACTGTGATTTCAGGTGTGAGCCACCACACCAGCACTAATAATTCAAAATATATAAACAAAATTTGTCATGCAAATAGACATTCCATTCATTTTGCCACCAATATTGTACATCCTAAATGGATTAATAACTCGTTTTGCTTCTAATAAACTGTAACATTTGTAAAAATGGGAAAGTGTAAAGCTGAACATGATGCAAGGTAGAAAATAAAAATATTTATATTTGCTTTCAGCATGGTGTTTTCAAACTTAAAGTTGTGTATGCATATGTGAATAGGATTTTAAACAAAATATTATAACAAACTAAAAAATGTAATGCAGTGACTTGGTAGAAATGACATGAAGTCAAAGATATAAATTAGAGAACTATCTCATTATACAAATTTTTATAGTTTTACCATGAGGCCGATATTGGCCATATTATTTGAGAAAAACTATTTAGCGTCTCTAAGCTTTAATTTCCTCATTGAAATATTAAAGAGGTAGGCCTAGTTAAGTTCTAAAGGCCTTCCCAACTTTTATCATTCCATTAGTCTGTGATTCTTAATTACTTAGAAACCATCTAGTTTCTCTATATTTCTCCTACTTTTTAATTTTTCTATCACAGACACCTAGTATCTCAGGTAAATTCTTTACAGTTCTCTTGAACCTTTTCTGGTACTAAAGAAGTAGTTTAATGTTGGGATTTTAAAAGATTTCCATGAATACAATGAGAAAATAATTAAGATTCATTGCCTACAATATTTCATTTTACCAGCACTGTTGAAAAACGAAGCTTTTCACTTAATTTTCTGGATAACTGACACCTATGTTATTAAATAGCAGATTTTTGTTTAGTTTAACATTCTGTTTAAACAAAATCTCTAAATTGTACTATCTATTTTAGTGCCTTTTAAGCAGAAAATATACTTACATAACTTTTTCTTTGTATTTTCTTGAAGATGGAGAATTACATTTTGTTTTGTTTTGTTTTTTTAGAAGTGGACAAAGTCTCAGTCTATCGCCCAGACTGGAGTGCACTGGTACAATCTCGGCTCACTGCATCCTCTGCCTCCTGGGTTCAAGCAATTCTCCTGCCTCAGCCACCTAAGTAGCTGGGATTACAGGTGCCCACCACCACACCTGGCTAAGTTTTGTATTTTTAGTAGAGACGGGGTTTCACCATGTTAGCCAGGCTGGTCTCAAACTTCTGACCTCAGGTGATCCACCCACCTCAGCCTCCCAAAGTGTTGGGATTACAGGTGAGAATCACCTTTCCAAACATTATTTATTATACAGGACATCTTTCAGGGCCAATTCAGGTATGAAGATTCTTACTGAGAATTCATTTGGTGGCGAGTGACAGAAACCCAACTCAAACTGGCTTAATAAAAGGAATTTATTGGCTTACCTAACTCAAACATAGCTGCTTCTGGTTGTACCAACAACATTTGGTTGTTTGTACATTTAATTTGGAGTTTTTCTCCTTTTCCACATTGAGAATCTTCTTTGCTCTGTAGTCATTTCATTCTTTGGAAGGCTTTCTTGGGTATCACAAGTGTCTTCACTAGCAAGACTAGGTTTAGGAACCCAAACAGAAAGAGAGCTCTTTTCCAATGGTTCCAGTAAATACCCAAAGCTGACTCTCATTGGCGAGGTATGTGTCAGTCCTCATGCCTGGAACCATCAGTGTAACCAGAGGAGGGAGTTTCCCTATTGAACAGCCCTGTCAATGATCCTCATCCCTGGATCATTGGTGGAGCACGTGGGTTGGGGAGGTCTGAATGACAATCTCACATGACCACATGGATGGAGAATAGAGTAGGCATGGATTTCACAAAAGAAAATCAAAAAAAAGAAAAAAAAAGTTACATTTTTTGGTAACAACCAAAAAAGGTAAGGGGAAAGGTGCTTGGCAGGCCAACATTATAAATGTCACTTGTGGAAAGGTATTTATCCCCACATTCATTACTTAGATTGCTGTCTTTTTCATCTCTTTCACCGCCATCAGTCACTAATGCTGCTCTCAGTTTGCCTCTATCACAGCAATCTCTTCCTGAATTTTAATGTTTAACATCTAATCTTTTAGGGTTTGAAAAACAAAGGAGCAAAGTCATTAGAATTATTTTCAAAATGAGAGCTGGGCACAGTGGCTCACACCTGTAATCCTAGGACTTTGGGAGGCTGAGGCAGGTGGATCACCTGAGATCAGAAGTTTGAGACCAGCCTGCCCAACATGGTGAAACCCTTCTTTGCTAAAAATACAAAAAATTAGCCAGGCAAGATGGGGGCACCTGTAATCCCAGCTACTCAGAAGGCTGAGGCATGAGAACCTCTTGAACCCAGGAGGCGGAGATTGCAGTGAGCCCAGATTGTGCCACTGCACTCTAGCCTGGTTGACAGAGGGAGACTCTGTCTCAAAAAACAAATAAATAAACAAAAACAAAATAAGGGTTAATGGGCTCTGAGTGAGTCCTTAGGAACTTCTCTATGAGTAAGGAGAATAAACTTTCTAATGAGGGTTCCATGATATTTTTATGCCCCTTCAAAGGTCATTTTCGTAATTTCAAGACCCAATGATTATGAATAATAAATACTGTGAACATGTCACTTTAAATAAAAGTAACATTTTTGAAAGTTTCTTAAATTTAAGTTGGTTTCTCAAGTGAGACCTGTGTTGTAAATGGTCTTTTAGAAATGGAAACACAGCACAGAGCAAACAAATACAGCTGACCAGTTGTAAGATCTCTTACTGGGCTGATTAAAAAACTGATATTTTATTTTACCCTTTATTTCTGCAGTATCTTTCTGATCACATATAAGTATTTTGGCATTTATGGTTGAGACTATTGGAGAATAGAGAACTTTTTTGGAACATAAAATTATATAAATTCCCAGATGGCATAACATGTCAAGTTTTGATTGTTTATGTTTAAAAGGACCCCATAATAACATTAATAAAATTTGTTCACAAAGGTTTCATTTGAACCAATAGTTTTTGTCTACTAAAAATAATAAATTCTAGTTGGTGACTATTTAAAAATAGTTTTCGTAAGTGGCAGAATTGGCTGATTTTGAGAATTTGATGAGAGAGGTGATTTTAATGATACTGCCAAAGAATTTCTATGTAATTCTCCAATGAGAAAGGTGAAGAAATGAATGTTATATCCACCTAATTAAGAAGTGGGCCTCAAAAGCAGATGAAAAATAATGACCAAATAAAATCAATGGGATTAAGTAGTAAATTCTTCAAGATTCAGATGACTTTATCTTGCTTAATAGGGAAAGCAAAACGATTCTTAAAGATTCTTAGGATAATCAAGAAGGAATATGCATGGGTAGTAATAACCAACGCTATTGAATGGTAACTGTGCGTAGTTAGAACTATTCTTGTCTCCATTTCATAAATAAAGAATTAATCACAAAGAGGTTAAGCAATTTGGTATATGAGGGAGATGGACTTCAGACTCAGGCTTATCTAAATCTGAAGCCAGCCCATCTTGTCAGTTACCATATTTGAGGTCATTCACTTCAGAAGGTAAAGGCCAAGTGCCATGGTTTGAGATGTGATATCCTAAACTCTTTAACTTGATCTCGTATTACTTTCAGCCTCCTGCCACAGGCTCCAGCAGTTTCCCCTCACACACCACTGGCTTTCATGCCTCCATGCCTTTAAGATAAGTGTTCTCTGAGTCTAATATTTTTTGGTCAAGTGACTTTCTTTTTTTTTATCATCAGTCTAAATTTTGAAGTAAGTTTTTTAATTTAAAAAGTTATATATATATATATATATATAGAAACATATGCACACATTCATATATATCGTTATATAAACACATTTATTACAAATTATATATAATAAAAAACAAACTTAAGGTTTTTGAGATGGCACTGTGGTTACCATTGTGTTTTGTAAGGAGGAAACTTGGTGGTGGTAGAAAGATTATGATGTTCTTTCAAATTTTAAGTGCAAACTTCTTGCCACTTGGTTGAACAGAGAAAATGATTCTTTGAGGGAGGAGTTCTGTCTAATTCATCCTCTCTTTATGTCTAGCATAATGTGTCTGGAACACATTAGGCACTTTGATATGGGTTGAATTAGATTTTCCTTTCTCTTACATAATTTTCTCTTTGGTTCTACCAAAGTTTGTAGTGTGTACCTCTATTGGGATACTCACTGTACTTGCTGCATTAGGAGTAAGTTTCCTTGCTAGTTAAAAAAAGACCAAAAAAACTAAAATAAAGCTTGATTAATAGTGGTTTAAACAATTACCCCAATACTTGGCAGTCCAAGGCTGATGGAGCAACTCAAAAATGTCATCAGGGTACCAGCTCCTCCCATCTTATTTATCTGCTAAGTGGAGGGCTTTTATAGTCAGGCTTGAAAGATGTCTGCTGCTCTTCCAGGCACTGTATCTACATTCTAGGAAGGAGAAAAGGAAATGTTAGAGGACAAAGAGTAAAAAGTATTATCCTCTAAAGGCCTCTCCTGAAATTCCCTCCTAAATCTCACATATAGAACTGTGACAAATGCCCACCTCTCCCTGCAAAAGTAGCTAGGAACTGGAGTACTGTATTTCCCTTGTAGCCTGTATAGCTTGGAAAGCCAAGGGAGAATGACTTGAAGTGAGTGTTTATTGAGCCAATCTATAGTCTCTCTTACAGATGTTCTTAGTCATTTGGTATAAATTTATTTTTCCTAGTATATAAGAAGTCTATGGAAAATAATGTGTTTTGGTATTCTTTGAATTGCCTGCAATGACTAGAAAGTGACTACCACCATAGCACTCATCATAGTGTCTAAGACATTGTGGCTACTCAGTCGTTGGTGATGTATTTTTAAACTTTAATTTAGAAATAAGAACCAGGCAGGAGTTAGCAACTCTAGATTCTCCGAAAATGATGGAATTCAGAGATTTCCCTTTAGTGACTCATTCCTTATATCAACATTGGAAAATTACCTGGAGCCTTCCTGCTTCATCCTGTTGGCACATTAGGACAATTTACTAGTGATATTGCTTGGAATGCTTTGATGTATAACTCAAAAAACAGAATGGGAAAGAAATCGTAAACATGTGATTGGTCAACAAAGGCTTTTTCCAAGAGAAGTAAAAAGGTAGATAAGAATAATGATAATATACTGGAATCAAGCAAAAAAAAAAGAAAACAGCCATTGAAAATTAAGGATAGTCTAATTTCAAATAGTTTAGCCATTCAGAATTCTTAGAAAAAAAATAAGTGTAATCCAAAATCTTTGAAATTAAAAGACTTTCAATTTACTGCTTTGTATCTATACTCTTTCAAAACAGATCTTGTTCCTCTTCCCTCCGTCATTTTGTTAATTATAAATTATGGAGGATGAAGATAAAAGAATTACATGTGAAGATTCAGAACCATCCAAAGGAGTGAATCTCATGGCCTCTATGCATCAAGAAACACAGGTAAATCTAAGCTGTGATAGAATTGTATTTTCTTCATATTCTACCACTCATTTACCAATTCTCTTATCCCCAAACTCACACAGTCCAGGGCAGGTGTGACTACCAGTTTTCCCAGCTAACATCATTGGCAGCTGACCCTACCTGTGACTGTAAAAATGGAGAGCCTGTGAAATCCTTAGTGTCATTGACCTAATCTCTACAATGGTTTTGGTTTTTTTCCTTTCTTTTTATTGCTTAAATTCAAGTAGATTAATGAATGTGAACTGGTTTTCATTATAGAGAGTTATCTTTTCCTAAACTGCTTTGTATATGTGCCAATTATTGCCCTGAATTTTATCTTAAATATGCTTATTTTAAAAGCCAGTATTACAGCTGGACACGGTGGCTCACGCCTGTAATCCCAGCACTTTGGGAGGCCAAGGCGGGTGCATCACCTGAGGTCAGGAGTTCAAGACCAGGCTGACCAACATGGAGAAACTTCATCTCTAAGAAAAATACAAAATTAGCTGGGCATGGTGGTGCATGCCTATAGTCCCAGCTACTTGGGAGGGTGAGGCAGGAGAGTCGCTTGAACTTGTGAGTCAGAGGTTTCTGTGAGCCAAGATCGTACCATTGCATTCCAGCCTGGGCAACAAGAGCAATACTCCATCTCAAAAAGCAAAACAAAACCCAGTATTACAAAACATAATAAAATATTATGTGACCCAAGCATTTATAATACAGGTTGAGTATCCATTATCTGAAATCCTTGGGACCAGATGTGTCTTGGATTTTTTGTTGTTGTTTTTTTAATATTTCCATACACCTGATGAGATATCTTGCAGATGGAACCCAAGTCTAAACACAAAATTTATTTATGTTTCATATATACCTTATGCAGGTAGTCTGAAGGTGATTTTATATAATATTTTTAATAATTTTCTACATGAAACAAAGTTGCATTTGACTGTTACCTGTCGTGTGAGTTTAGGTGTGGAATTTCTTACTTGTGTGTCATGACAGTGCTCAAAAGTTTCAGATTTTGGCTAGCCAAGGTGGTTCACACCTGTAATCCCAACAATATGGGAGGCAGAGGCAGGCAGATCAAGAGGTCAAGAGATCGAGACCATCCTGGCCAACATGGTGATACCCTGTCTCTACTAAAAATACAAAAATTAGCTAGGCGTGGTGGTGTGTACCTGTAGTCCCAGCTACTCAGGAGGCTGAGGCAGGAAAATTGCTTGAACCTGGGAGGTGCTGGTTGCGGTGAGCTGAGATTGAGCCATTGTACTCTAGCTTGGGCAACAAGAGTGAAATTCCATCTCAAAAAAAAAAAAAAAAGCTTCAGATTTTGGAGTATTTCAGATTTTAGATTTCCAGATTAGTGATACTCAACCAGTACTAAAAATAGTGACAGTGCTAAATACTCCTAGCATAATTCTTATTTCAAGCTGATTCGCTAGTAGTAAATCTGTATATTTTCCCTACAAAGTGTTACCCTTGATTCTAGTCATAGAAATCTGATTTGTAAGGTGGTGATGCAGTACCTATAAAAATGTGTAAAATATGTAGAGTTTTAAGGATTTTTAAAATTACTTTAAATACAGGAGGAGACAGTTATGAATCTCAAAGGTATAGATGCAAATGAACCAACAGAAGGAAGTATCCTATTGGATAGCAGTGAAAAAAAGCTACAAGAAACACCAACTGAAGCAAATCACGTACAACAACTGAGACAAATGCTGGCTTGCCCTCCACATGGTTTACTGGACAAGGTCATAACAAACGGTAAGGATGAATTCAGAAAGAGATGGCAAAAGATGAAGCTGTTATAATGACAGATTCCTAAATAATACGGTTGAAAGGACAGAAAGAGGTTGACTTCTCCCACATATAAAAACTACTTGGTGAACAATTCACACACATGGGTGGCTCTGCTCCACACACTCAAGGGAAGGATCTAGGCTAACAGGACTCCACCATCTTCACCTTGGCTTCAAGGATCACTGTGGTCACCATCATCGTGGGAAGAGGGGAGAAACACAGATCAAGGACCTTTTCCTTTACTATATCTGAGTAATTTCACAGGATTACTTTAGGACTATCTAAAACACTACATAAATGTTGGTTGTTATTACTTTTAACTAATGCAACTAACATTTTAGCAAACACAGCCCCATTTATACTTCCAAATGAATTCTATTACTTTGTAAGTAAGAATTATTGGTTTGCAATTCAGCTTATTTTAGTAGAGCTGCTGTTGTATAAGACATTTGGGGGATTTTTCTTTGGGAATTTATGTCAGCAATATTTTTAATATTTTTAGGGTTGTGATGTATTTGTCTTTTAGTAATGAATTTGGTCTTTAGAGACAGCCAAAGGTTATTCTGCTATCAATTTGATAAATACATGAAAGTTCAGATTCATTTATACCATATTTTTGTTAAAGGAATTGTGTGCATATGTGTCTGTGTGTGCTAGGGGATATGTGATATAGTAGAAACAAGAAGAGATTTGAAAATTATCTATAAAGGCAAATTAGTTTTTTTAAGAAGACAATATACTTTTATTGATAGTTAAAATTTATTGTTTTTTACATTGACAGACAAAATTGTATGGATTTACTTTGTACAACATGATGTTTTGAGGTATGTCTACATAGTGGAATGAGGAATTTTATCTAATTAACATATGTGTTATCTCACATAGCTATCATTTTTGTGATGAGAACATGTTACATTTACTCTTAGCATTTTTCAGGAATACAATATATTATTAACTATAGTCTCCATGTTGTACAATAGAACCTCTTAAACTTACTCTTCCTGTCTAGCTGAAATTTTATATCCCAACAACCCTATATATATGTATCACCCAATATTCTTAAGATATATGGGTGGGTGTGTGTGTGTGTGTGTGTATCTTTTTTTTTCATGGATCTTTAAAGTCTAGAAAATTTATCTGTCAAGGCATTGGTCATTGTCTTCCTTGCACTTTCACCTCTTCCCCGCTCCACCTTTTTTTTCCTGGAGATAGGATCTTGTTATGTTGCCCAGGCTGGTCTTGAACTCCCAGGCTCCAGGGATCCTCCCACCTCAGCTTCCCAAGTAGCTTGGATTACAGATGTATATCGTTGCACCTGGCAAAACTAATTTTAACCTGCCAACTTTTTTTTTTTTTTTTTGAGATGGAGTCTCGCTCTGTTGCCCAGGCTAGAGTACAGTGGTGCAATCTCAGCTCACTGCAACCTCCACCTCTCCAGTTCAAGCAGTTCCCCTGACTCAGCCTCCCAAGTAGCTGGAACTACAGATGCATGCCACCATGCCTGGCTAATTTTTCATATTTTAGTAGAGACGGATTTTCACCATGTTGGCCAGGATGGTCTCAATCTCTTGACCTCATGATCCGCCCACCTCAGCCTCCCAAAGTGCTGGGATTATGCCACCATGCCTGGTCAACCTGCCAACTTTTAAATGCCTGGAATCGATCCACAAGTTTTCACCTTTACAAATCATATTTTCAAAAGAGAAAATAATTTTAACATCAAAATATAAAATGAATTGTTCAAAAATATAAACATCCATTCATAAGCATTATTTAATTTTTAATACATAATTATACATATTTGTGGGGTACAATATGATGTTTCGATACATGTATATATTGTGTAATGATCAAATCCAGCTAATTAGCATATCTGTCACCTAAAGCATTTATTATTTCTTTGTGGTAAGAACATAGAAAATCTTCTATTTTGAGGTATACATTACCTTATTCCTAACTATAGTCTCATTACTGTGCTACAGAACAAACTACTCTTCCTAATTATCACTTTGTACCTGTTGACCACTCTCTCCCCATAACCCCAAGCTCTTCCCCTCCCTAGTCTCTGGTAATCACTGTACTATTTACTACTTCCATAAGAACAACATTTTTTAGATTCAACATATAAGTGAGAACATGCAGTATTTGTCTTTCTATGCCTGACTTATTTGACTAAGCATAATGTCTTCCAGGTTCATCCATGTTGTTGCAAATGACAGGATTTCATTCTTTTTTATGGTTGAAAAGTATATCATTGTGTATATACCACATTTTCCTTATCCAGTCATTCATTGTTGGACACTTAGGTTGATTCCACATCTTGGCTATTGTGAATAGTACTGCAATAAACAAGGGAGTGCAGACGTCTCTTCAACACGCTGATTTCATTTCCTTTGGATACATACCCAGTAATAGGATTGCTGGATCATATGGTGGTACTATTTTTACTTTTTTGAGGACTCTCCATACTATTTTCCATAATGGTAATATTAATTTACATTCCCACCAGCAGTGCACAGGGTTACCTTTTTTCTACATCCTTGCCAACCCCTTGTTACCTTTTGTCTTTTCGATAATAGTCATCCTGATAGGCATGAGGTGAAATGTTGAACATTTCTTCCTATACCTGTTGGCCATTCGTATGTCTTCTTTTGAAAAATTCAGGTCCTTTGCCCATTTTTAAATTGGATTATTTGTTTTCCTGCTATTGAGTTTTTTCAGTTCCTTTTATATTCTGGACATTAACTCCTTGCCAGGTACATAGTTTGCAACTGTTTTCTCCCATTCTGTAGGTTATCTCTTCATGCTGTGGATTGTTTGTTGGGCAGAAGCTTTTTAGTTTGATATAATCTGCTTTGCCTGTTTTTGCTTTTGTTGCCTATATATTTGAAGTCATATCCAAAAAGTCATTGCTCAGACCAGTGTCATAGAGCTTTTTCCTCATGTTTTTTTCTAATAGTTTCATAGTTTTATGCCTTACTAAAATTTGCCTTTTAAAGCAGAGTTAAAGGCAATTTCAAAAATTATGCTGAGGAATAATAACATCATCAAAGTAAATATACGGATTCCCACATGTGTTATGTTTACTGAAAAATGAGACTCAGTTCTATAGTTATACTTTGTGGGCTCTGAAAGACATGTTTACCATTAACATCTGGGACAGTGAAAGCCAAGCATAATATGTGATACTTTAGGCTCTAGATATGTTTTAATGAAACCAAGTCAGGTTACTTAACTAGCATGGAAGAAAATCTCAAACTTAGAACATGTATAGAAAACCAGAATCCAAAAATGTATACTAGCTGATAAGACAACAGATAATTTAATACCTTTTCTGTTCTTTTAATTTTTTTAAAAAAACTTTTATTATTCAAAATGTGACACATTTATAGTTAAAATGTTTACAGTGAAATAGATATGGACCAACATAAGGAAAGAGTAAAAAATGAATAATGTAATTTTGAGGCTCATATTTTTAAATTGTGTAATCATTCATAAAGCAGCCTGAAAAATGAGATTCATGTTAAATAAACATCTCATTGCTTATTTTTCTGTTCTTCTGTCCCAGAGGTTTACAAGACAACTTTTGTCCTATATTCTTTTCTGTGTCTATGCAGTATATATCAGTAATCTTCTTAAAAAGTAGGCCATGCGTGGTGGCTCAATCCTGTAATCCTAGCACTTTAGGAGGCCAAGGCAGGTGATCACAAGGTCAGGAGTTCGAGACCAGCCTGGCCAACATAGTGAAACCTTGTCTCTACTAAAAATACAAAAAATTAGCTGGCCGTAGTGGTGGGTGCCTATAATTCCAGCTGCTTGGGAGGCTGAGGGAAGAGAATCACTTGAACATGGGAGGTGGAGGTTGCAGTGAGCTGAGATCATGCCATTGTACTCCAAGCTGGGCAACAAGAGTGAAACTCCATCTCAAAAAAAAAAAAAAAAAAAGTAAATCTTACATGTGAAAATCTGTGGTTTTCCATAATTGTAAATGAGAAGTAAATTAACTGATTTAAACATGATTTAGAGAAACTTTATAGACATACCATTTGCTATGTATTTACAACGGTATTTCAAGTAAGGCACAGGGAAAGAGAATTAGAGATTTTTTTTTTAATAATCTTGAAGTAGAAAAGAGAAAACAAGAATCTTAATTCCACCTTGCTGAATTTAATATTGACTTGGGTTTATGCTGCAATAAAGGAGAATTTAGTATAATAACTGGCAAATCCTGCTTTCCCAATCTACCTCTAATATTGCATAGAAATTTTAACCCTTGTAGCTAATTGGAAAATACCAAAAGCCCCTTAGTTATTTTACTGCAGTAGTATCATAAGCCTAGAAAATCTGGAACAATTCTGTGAGGGTTTAGAAAAAGGCACATTGAATTCAATCTCTAGCAGTACGGTAGACAAGACTCAATGAGCAATCCTGTCACAAACCAAGGAAATCATCTGAAAAAATATTTTAAGTCTTTGAAATAATCTGTAAGGAAAACAGGGAATCATCAGACACCAGAACCAAAGTGTAAGTAGAAGAGATCAATAAGCACTCAAGGTGGCTCCACCCTGGATGTTTCTAAACCTCAGGGAACTTGAGATTGATTTTGAGAGTGCTGAGAGCACAGGAGGCTAAGCTGGAGCCTGCCCAGGTTGGGAGAATTCTAACCAAAAAAAAAGCATTTTCCTTCACCTACATAAAGCTGAAACCGAATGTGATGGCAAATTTGAGGTAAACCTGTTCTGCAGGTGAGGCCTGTAACTAAACCTGTCTCAACTGTGGTTCCTGGCTGGGGCAGGTGTGGGGTCTCCAATCAAAATGTTTAACTTCATCCTGATTTGTCTTCAATTTAACAGAAACAATTCAATTTGAAAATGTATCTATTTTCAGACAACATTTTCAGATGGTCTCAGATGGTAAGCTTTCAAGTACATGGTAGAAGTAAATTCAGATCCCATCTGGGAAAACTCATTCAACCGAAGGTTCCAACAAAGTTGGACAGAGTTCCAAGGGAGAGCTTACTGTTGCAAAAGACAAACTAAAAAGTTTACTTTCAGACAGAGTTTCAAGGGAGAGCTCACTGTTGCAAAAAAAAACAAACTAAAAAAAAACTACAACATGCAAAAGGAAGCAAAACTGATTTCAAAAAGGTGCATTATCAGAAATAGAATATAAAACATTTATAAAGGAGTTAAGAATTAGAAAACATGAGTAAAAAACAAATAACTATTTTAAAAATGAATAGATTTGAAGAACCAAGTTGAACTTCTAGAAATGAAAGCTATAGGATAGTAGTTGAAATTAAAAACTCAATGGACAAATGAGGCAGCAGAATAAGTAAAAAAATAAATAAATAAATAAATAAAAATAAAATTGGTGAACTGGTGAATAAATCTGAAGAGATTACCTAGAATGCAGTACACACAAAGATGAAAAATATGAGAACTAGGGTTATCAACATAGAAAAGGAGAATGGGAAAGAGGAAACATTTGAAGAAATAAAGAATAAGAATTTTCCAGAATTGATTTCTTTAAAAAAATTAATCCTAAGCAAAACAAAAGAAAGTCACACCTAAACACATCATACTGAAATCAACGCCAAAGAAAAAGAGAAGATGTTAAAAACAAGGAAAAAGAATTCCTTTAAATAGCTGAAATTAGGCTCTTCAAAACCAGAAAAACCAAGGAATATTATTTTCAAGGAACAGAGAGACAATAACACTATACATAGAATTTAAGGTAAAACTGGGATATACCTAGAAAAACTGTATTTTAAGAATGAGAATAAAGATAATTCCAGACAATAAAACTAAGAATTTACTACAACAGATTCTCTTGAGAAATACAGCATGCTCTGATACAGAGTATTTCTATATCATGAATTAGCTCATATGCAGTGGTAAATAGGAGAATTGTGTCAGAGTGCATGGAATTTGCAGTTTTGTGTATAATTTTTCCTGATCCATTAATATCTTGTATCATTAAGCAATAGCAAGTGAAGGCAAAGTGAATTGGGGGAATAAAGACCAAATATATGCTTTCTTACAATGAAAGATAAAGCCTACCCTACATGAGGACCTTTTAAACGATGAAATCTCTGTAGAAGTGCTGTCTTTTCAAGCAATTAGTAGCTGGTTTAGGGGCTTCAAGGACTCAAACATTCTACAGCATTAAGCTATCTAATAAAACTACGCATGTGGATAAAGGGGCTGAGAATACAAGCTGAGGTAAAGAAGCTGCCAACGCTTTTTCTTTCGTTGACATTTTTTTTTTTATTGATGCAGAGGGCTACAATATGGATCAAATTTCGATGGGACTGCTCTCTGCTTAAAGAAAATACCCTTGAGAATCTCCATCCTGAAGCAGGCAATGTGATGCCAGGTTTAAGTCTGTAAAGAACAGACTGTCTGCATGGGACATGAATGTCAGTGTAGATCCATCTGTGCTAAGACTCTTATTAGGATTGTTTTGGTTTTTCTTAGTGCTTTGGTCACCAGTTTTGAGTGGTCTGCCCCAACTTTGTTTTCCCCATGAGCTTTTCAATTTTTAGTATACAGGTTTATAAAACACAAGTTTTCAAACAGGCAAACGTTTCTTTTTTTTTTTTTTTCTTTTTTTTTTTAAGGCAGGGTGTTGCTGTGTAACAGGCTGGAGTGCAGTGGTGTAATTGTAGCTCACTGCATCCTCGAACTCCTGGCCTCAAGTGATCCCTGCATCAGCTTCCTGAGTAGCTGGGATTTCAGGTGCCCACCACCACATCCAGCTATTTTTTTTTATTTTATATTTAGCAGAGATGAGATCTCACTATGTTGCTCAGACTGGTTTAGGACTCCTGAGCGCAAGCAATCCTCTTGCCTTGACCTCCTAAAGTGACGGGACAAGCATGAACCACCACGCCTGGCCTATTTCACATTCTTATGGAAATGCTTTTCCCTAAAGGAGACACTTTAGGCAGCAGGATAATTGTTCCAGATGAACAATTTGAGGCCAGGTAAGATGGTTCACACCTATAAACCCAGCACTTTGGGAGGCTGAGACAGGATTGCTTGAACTTGGGAGTTCAAGACCAGCCTGGGTAACATGATGAAACCCTGTCTCTACTAAAAAAATTTTAAGAAGTTAGCCGGGCATGATGGTACACACCTGTAGTCCAGCTACATAAGAGGCTGAGGCAGGAGGGTCATTTGAGCCTGGGAGGTTAAGGTTACAGTGAGCCATAATCGTGCCACTGTACTCCAACCTGGGCTATAGAGGCCCTGTTTCAAAACAAAAAGAAAAGTTTGAAATGCCATGATGAATAATGATTTCGAAAAAGGTAACTTTGTAGGTAATTCTAAACAAATATTGACTAAAAAAAGAAATAATAATTCTAATTCAAGGCAGAACTAAATAATATATTTGTGGTAAAATTATAAAGAAAAATAAGTGAATGGTGAAAAAAAATCAATGGTTCCTTCTGGCAGGGTGAAGGGAGATGGATGAGGAGGGGCAGATAGACAAATTCATAAATAATATCCTATTTCTTAAGATGTTGGCAATTACCCAGTTGTTCATCTTACTGATACTCTTTACAGATTAAACATAATTATAAATATTTGCATTTTCATTCAGTATTTATTTGTAAAAATTATTTTAGATTGTGTTCAAAACCTGCATGTGACAACTGATTGATAGTAACTAGTATTCCTGGCTTATTTCAGTTACCATTATTGTTCTTCTGTGGGCTGTGGTTTGGTCAATTACTGGCAGTGAATGTCTTCCTGGAGGAAACCTATTTGGAGTTATAATTCTATTCTATTGTGCCATCACTGGAGGTAAACTTTTGGAGCTTATTAAGTTACCTACATTGCCTCCACTGCCTTCTCTTCTTGGTAAGTGTTAAATGTTTCCTGTTTTCTCCAGAGTAAACCACATTTTTAAAATAATAGTTTGGAAAGCTTTGAGAAATGAAGGAATGAAATATTTCTGTATTTGCCATGCTGGAGCCAAAAGCCAGTTGTTAAATTTTGAGGAGTCCTGTGATCCAGTTGTTAAACGTGGCAATTAAAAAACTTAAATTATCCTGGCCCGGGTGTTGTGGCTCATGCCTGTAATCCCACCACTTTGGGAGGCCAAGGTAGGCAGATTGCTTGAGCTCAGGAGTTTGAGCCCAGCCTGGGCAACCTGGTGAAACCCCGTCTCTACAAAAAAATACAAAAATTAGCCGGGCTTGGTGACTGTAGTCTCAAGCTACTCAGAAGGCTGAGGTGGGAGGATTGATTGAACCTGGGAGGTCACAGCTTCCATGAGCCATGATTGCACCACTACACTCCAACCTGGGCAATAGAACAAGACCTAGTCGCAAAAATATATACATATACAAACTTAAAATTAAATAACTGACATTAAAAACAAGCCGTCCAGGAGAATTGCCTGAACCCAGGAGGCAGAGGTTTCGGTGAGCCGACATCGCACCATTGCACTCCAGCCTGAGTAACAAGAGCGAAACTCCGTCTCAAAAAAAAAAAAAAAAAAAAAAGCCGTCAGTGCTCAACACTGATCACTTCCTGTTTTACTCCATTTCCCCTCACCTATGCTCTTGAGATCGTGGAAATACTACATAATGGTGTGCCACTGCCACCTCTTCCCAACTCCACTTTCAGTGACATCATATTGTAGCTTAAAATCGGCCATAGAAGTATCTGTAACAAAAAAATCAGCAAATGCTACAAATCAAGGTTTGTCATTGTGTAAGTCACTTACATCATTGACAGAGTGAAGTTCTGACATGTATTTTTATTGTTTCATTTTCATCTTATTAATTAATATAAGCAAAAATATCAAGTAACATTCATGGTGAAACTGCACTCACTCATCCATGATGTGTGACTTCTTTGCTGAATCGGATAGTACGCAACCACTTATTTCTTGTCTGATTCTGTCAAATCTTGGTAGAACTGCAACCATAGTTGGTTATGGACACAGAAGTTTGAAAAACAGCAGTGAAAACATTCTATGAGAAGAAATTGGCTATATAGAATTTACAGTGGAGACTGTATATTTGTAAACTGTGTGCTGCACATCCTTTATATCAGTAAAATTTAATAATGTATGTGCCTATATAAAATGCATACGTTTTTCGGTAAGCCACTTGTTAAACATTTACCAGCACACCAGCACTTTGGGAGGCCGAAGCAGGTGGATCACCTGAGGTCAGGAGTTCAAGACCAGTCTGGTGAAAATCCATCTCTACTGAAAACAAACATGGCGAAACTCCCATCTCTACTAAAAATACAAAAATTAGCTGGGCTTGCTGTAATCCCAGCTACTTGGGAGGCTAAAGCAGGAGAACCGCTTGAACCAGGGAGGTGGAGGCTGCAGTGAGACAAGATCATGCCACTGCACTCTAGCCTGAGTGACAAGAGCGACACTCCATCTCAAAAAGGATAAAAGTAAAATAAAATATTATGATTCTTGAAGACATAGCTGAAAATACCCCTCAGAGACAAAGAGAACTGCCCAAACAAGACATATACACAAATTAGTCTTAAAACTAGATGTGATACATTTAATGTTTCTTCAAAGAATTCTGCATTATAAAATTTGTTTACCACAGAGACATTTTGTGTTCATTTCTAAGAGATTTATTATCACCCAGTTTTAGTAAAAAACCACCTCCTTTTCATACATGTATATATATTTGCACATATTTCCTGAAGGGTTTTTTTTTTTTTTTTTTTCTGTTAGCTATATGAGTGAGAACAATCAGGATTGGCTAGCAGACACCAGTACTATTTGCTTTTGAACTTGTGGTCAGTAATTAAAATTAAATATAAAAAGAAGTAGAATTATAAGGACAAGGTGAAAAGAGGGCACTGCTGGAGAAGCATGAAGTATGTCCCATTTCTCAATGTATTTTTAATTTTAGGTAAAACTAAAGTATTCCACTTAATTCATATTATTTCTCATGGATGTTTTTTGTTCTCTAAAGTTATTAATTGAATTACTATTAAAATGAATTGCTTCTTAATATGCCTGTATGCTAGAATAAAGGGTTGGCAGACCACTTCTTTTTATAAATTGAATGTTAATTGGAACCTACCCATGCTTATTCGTTTCGTAGTGCCTGCTACATGCTAGCCTTGTATGTGATCCTAGTAACAAAGAGGTGAACTAGATAAGTAGTCTCCAGACTTTTTGGCACCAGGGACTGGTTTCGTGGAAGACAATTTTTCCATGGACGACAGAGGCAATGGTTTCGGGATGAAGTTTTCCACCTCAGATCACCAGGTATTAATTAGATTCTCATAAGGAGCACACAGCCTAGATTCCTTGCATGTGCAGTTCACAATGGAACTCATGCTCCTATGAGAATCTAATGCTACTGCTGATGTGACAGGAGGCAGAGCTCAGGCAGTAATGCTCGCTCACCTTGATGTATGAATTGTGCTCATTTCAGCACTGTTTATAAGGAAAAACCTGAAAGTTTCCTTAAAATCTATTAATAGATTAGTGGTCCAAAAATTATGAAACTTCCAAACAGTGAGATACTATTGCAGCTATTAAAGGGGAATAAAGCAAATATATATGTGCTTCAGTGGGAAAATGTGCAGGATATATTATTAAATGGGAAAACAAAACATGCTGCACATGTGTATAAGTGTCCTATTTGTGACCAGCACAAAAGAGCATATACACACAGAAATATTCTTGAATAGTTACAGAAACTTTCTGGAAAGTCACAAAAGACCCTTAACAGTGAAAAAACATTCAAGAATGAAGATGGAAAGTTGCAGTTGGGATACAGTATGTACTTGCCACTTTATATTTGTCAACAGTTTCTTAATTTTAACATGTGCATGTATAACTCATCATTATTTCTTCCAAAAACCAAGCCTGTTCATACTGTTGCCCAATAAACGTTCCAGAAAGACTGTCACTGCAGCATTCAGAACTTAGAGTCTTTCCCGTAGATAAATGGCAGTGATGAGAGATGAGACGCCTGGCGTGATGCTTTCATGTGCAGCAGGTCACGAAAAGCTCTACTTGCAGTTGTCTCTCTTCACCCATCTTGCATCACAAAATATACTAACTTCGGTAAATTTATTTAGTTGTTTGAAGTGTGGTGCTTATAAGGACAAGGTGAAAACAGGGCACTGCTGGAGAAGCATGGAGGGAAGAGGCTGACAGTCTCTCACAGAAACCTTTCCCTTTGTGTGGGCATGTGGTATCAATGAAGGCAGAATTCCCTCACAAACTACTCAGTTTCCTCAGTTACACTCAACTACTTGCAGTTTTCAGAGTGAGTCACTTTTTCTTCTACCTTTGAATAAACTACTATCTTTTCCAGAAACTTCTCAACTCCCCCAGCCATTTTTTTCTCCCCTTCCCCCTTCTCTAAATTCCCCTTCCTGTCTCAGCTCATATAACATCCCCCTCATGCTTTCATAAAATTGATATTGTCCGCTTGTCTTGTTCCCTAGAAGCTGAAACCTTGTTGAAATGTCCATTATTATATGCATGATGCACACTCTAGTGTCTAATTTGCTGAAGGCATTCAGTAGAGCTGAATGACTGAGTGAAAGAAGTCACCAGCTGACATCACAGGGCAATGTCCATTTCATCATAATTGATATCTAAAACCTTTGCAAAGTAGGTTATATGTCTCTTATGAAATTATCTACTCTGAAGGTGAAATAGAATCCATAGAAGTATTTATTGATATTTCAAGTAATCTGACATAGCAAATAATTTCAGGGGCTGTTTGCTGTTCGCACACAAGGGGATGACTGAACTGACATTGTATTTAGATGTTAAAAAACATTTTAAATTTAGAATTTGATCATACTATCTATCTAAATGCTGCATCTTATCTCCCTTTTAAGTTCAGTTATTTTGATAATATTAATTATTATAATCTATCTTTTTATCTGCACATTAAAGTATTTTCTTAGCTGCTTTAATTTATTATACTTTTTTTTTAATTAAAAGTTTAACAGTTTCTTCTAAGCATTAGTGAAGTGGTTCCTGGAATTATATAGTAGTGTCTATAAAATTAAAGCACTAAAAATATTTTTTGTATTTGAAAACTAACTAGACATGTTTGATTTCTTCATTCAAGGCATGCTGCTTGCAGGGTTTCTCATCAGAAATATCCCAGTCATCAATGATAATGTACAGATTAAGCACAAATGGTCCTCCTCTTTGAGAAGCATAGCCCTGTCTATCATCCTGGTTCGTGCTGGCCTTGGTCTGGATTCAAAGGTATGATGTGTCAATTTCTCATTATTAAATAGGAATTTAGTTTCTTCAATACTTTAGATATTTAGAATCACTAAGCATTAGGAAATGGATATGGACACTTTGCATGACATTCTTGAGCATAGAATAGAATTTTTTTCACGGAGGATTGTTTTGTACATAGGACCTTGTGCTTCGCAGTAACTCAAAAGATGGTCTCATTCTCTTCCCTTTTTTTTTTTTTTTTTTTTTTTGAGAGGAAGTCTTGCTCTGTCGCCCAGACTGGAGTACAATGACTCGATCTCAGCTCACTGCAACCACCACCTCCCAGCTTCAAGTGATTCTCCTGCCTCAGCCTCTGAAGTAGCTGAGATTACAGATGTGCACTACCATGCCCCACTAATTTTTGTATTTTTAGTAGAGACGAGTTTTCGCCGTGTTGGCCAGTCTGGTCTCAAACTCCTGACCTCAGGTGATCAACCTGCCTCGGCCTCCCAAAGTGCTGGGATTACAGGCATGAACCACCCCACCCGCCGGTCTCATTCTTTTTCCTGGAGAAAGGTAGGGTCTGTGTATGGGGAGAGCACCAAGAATAAAGGCCCCACTTTTCTCTGACGTAGATATAGACCATGGCTATAAATAATGCTCATAGGGGAGAAAACAACATATTTTTGGTTTGTGAAGCCCTATATAAGTGTTCAGGGCTAACTATACTAGCTCAGGAAACTGCCTAATGAATCTCAAGTATGCTTTTTAAATTCTCTTTGTTTTCATGTATGTCTTTGAATACAGGAATGAGTGTCCTTGGGGGATGAAGCTCTTCATCTTAGCCTCATTCTGGGACCACAAGTTATAAATAAAACTAATACTGAGAGTGTTAAATTAGCTAGAGATTATGAACACAGATGCTGAAAGCAGCCTGCCTGGATTCAGACCTGGACCCGTCATTCACCAGTTTCATGGTCTTGGGCAAATGACTTTAGCCTGTGACTTTTCAGATGAGGATATCTAAAAAAAAGTGGGGATAATAGTATTACCTGACTTATAAGGTTGTAGTGAGGACTAAATAAGCTGTCTTAAAACACCTGGAGTGCTAAAATGTTTGTTAAATAAAACTCATTACCTTGAAAACTCGTGATGACCCAGACATGGTCCATATACTGAAAAGAAAGCAGGGAAGGTCATCTTCTCTGCACATCTTCAGAAGATTACATTAGGATGTCTATTTTTCTATTTCAGGCCCTGAAGAAGTTGAAGGGTGTTTGTGTAAGACTGTCCATGGGTCCCTGTATTGTGGAGGCGTGCACATCTGCTCTTCTTTCCCATTACCTGCTGGGTTTACCATGGCAATGGGGATTTATACTGGGGTAATTATTGTTTATTTGTCATATGACAATATATAGGGATATTTAGGGCTTTCCCTGATTCCATACAAGAGAATGCATAATAGAATTTTCTTATAGACATCAGAAAATGCAAGATAGATGTTACAGCATAATCTAAATATTCTAACTTCAAAATATCGTTTATGTGTTATTAGGCACTAACTCTTATAGTTAGCACCTACTATTAAACTGTTGAAGAAGTCTTGGTCCTTTGCCTACACCTGATTCCATGCCTGTTAAAGAGACACCAGATTTCACCTAAAGTCTGCACAAAGGATAATGAACATAGCAACAGTGATCAACAGCTACTGTTGTTTCCTCCTTCCACTGTCAATTCTTTACTTCCAATGGTTAAGAGCCACACAAAGTAAATAAATTAGAAAGGACTTAGTGAGAATTTCATGCTAATAAGTCAGCAAGAAATAAGAAGTTCTTCTCATGGTTAAGACTCTTGAACTCTACTCCCTGGATTCAAATCCCAGCCCTGTGATTTTCCAGTGTGTGATCTTTAACAATTATTTAATCTCCCTGTGTCTCAGTTTCCTCAATTCTAAAAGATAAAATATATCTATTCTATAGGGTTGTTGTGAGGATTAAATTAGCAAATACATGTAAAATGCTCAAAATGGTGTCTGGTACATAGTAAGTACTGTTAAATGCTTTCTGCTGTTAACAACTGCTGTTATTACTGGCATCAATCTGACTGTCATATCATTTTCTTCTAATCTGTTGCCTTATTTGACATAGCAATCCCTGACAGAAGGCCCAGCATCACTGAGTTCCAAATCAGAAAGTCCAAGCATTGTTTTTCAAACTTTGTAACATAAATTTTTTGGTTTAAAAAAGCCAGCATCCTGGACTTACCCTCATTAGGCCTTCTATACCAATAAAAATACATTTTTAGGCAACCTAAGTAGTCTGAAGCAGGTTGTCTGTGGCTACATTTTGAAAAACAGTGTTCTATAGAAGTTTTACACATACGTGTTTTTCTGGATTCATGCTTCTCTGCTATTTGAACAACTGTAGTTGTCCAAAGTATAACCCTTAAAAAAGTGGAGGGTATTATAATTTCAAAATAATAATAAGTAAGATGTTATCATAAATGTTTAAAGCACTATCTGCTTAGTTTTGTTTTAGGTGCTGTATCTCCAGCAGTTGTGGTACCGTCAATGCTCCTTTTACAGGGAGGAGGCTATGGTGTTGAGAAAGGTGTCCCAACCTTACTCATGGCAGCTGGCAGCTTCGATGACATTCTGGCTATCACTGGCTTCAACACCTGCTTGGGCATAGCCTTTTCCACAGGTAACCTAATGAGTTCACAACAGGCTTTATTACTCTTGCACTCTAGAGACGTAGATTAAAATGTTATAAGCATGACATATTTACTTAATAATTGATTAAGGCAAATTAAAAATAGGCCAAAGAACACTAAGAGTTCTGTACCTAAGGAGGGGCCATAAGCTATCTATCTTTACTCTCTTCCTCCCTCTAGATAGAGACTGCTCAAGTAGCACACACTGGGTGCAGTAGGGGAGGTACAAGATAGATTTAAAGAACAGCATGTGCTTGAAGTGACCCAGGAAAGTTTAGGCCTGGAGACTTCACACAAAAGATGAGTAGGTTTTTCAAGGAGCATGAAAGACAGAGAGCAGTCTAAGTAAAAGGAACAGCATGCCTTTAAAATAAGAACAATTTTTCTTCTCTCCTTCTCAGCTTTTTATGGGTAATAAGCAGCAATGCTTTTAATGGGTGTCCTATTAATACTTAGTGTCTGAAATTGATGTATTTTGCTTCAAGTATTATAAAAGAGGAATTTTATTTTTTCTCCCACTGTTGTTCAACATCTATATTAAACTGATGTGAACAGATACTACACTTGACCTTAGCCAAAAGGCCAAGAAGCAGTTCAATGCTTTTATTATCCTGTGACATGGCACAAATTTAAGTTCATTCCTTAATCTTATGTCTAAAATTGGGAAATAAAATTTGCAATGTTATATGATTGACAAAGTGTAATTATAACCTAAGTTTAGCTTCAGATTCCATAGTGGGAACACATCTTGGGAAGTCATATATTCTTATTGTCTCCCCATAGTTATCTTCCCATTCTATGATTGTGTATAACTTATGCCTGTTACCTGGAACTCCGCTCTTTCTCATTGCTCCAGAGCCTGCCTTCCATCTATCCCTGGTAAACTGATTTTCTCAAAACATTGTTTTCACAACATTACTTTCTTGTTCAGGAACCATTGAGGATTCTCTGTTACCTATTAAATCAACTCCATACTCTTATTTTTAATGCTACTACACGTATCCAAATTATGTTCTTACCAGTTTCCTGGTATACACTGTTAAAACAATGGTTTTCAGCCTTAGCGTCACACTAGAATTACCTGAGCAGTTTTTAAAAATACCCTTATGTGGGTCCTATCTTAGACCAATTAAATCAGAACCTTTGGGAGTGGAAACTAGTGCAGCTTGGATTAAGAACCACAGCTTTAGAGCAACAGAGTTTGTATCAGAATCATGGTGGTGAGAGGAGAAAGAACAGAGGCAGTGGGGTTTTCATAAGCTACAGCTCGGAGAACCTTCCTAGCTGACTCTGCTGTGTTTCCTTTCCCCATCCCACCCCCAGCCAACTAAGAGTGGTCCTTAGACCTTTTGGATCTGAGCCCTGCCAGACATACTGAATCAGATTTTCAGGGGTGGGGCCTAAGAGATTTTTTTTAACACCTTACTATACCATAGACTGAAACTAATTAGCTACTTTCTACCCATTCATAGTAAATTATTTACCACAATAGCTTAAGCACAGTGCTACTATCACAGCTGGATCCTTTTGACAGTCATAGCATTACCTGGCGGAAAGCTATCCTAGCTCAATAAAATCACTTCAGAGGTAATTTTATTTAGATAAGAGAGATGATTACCATAATAGCAAGAGACCCTAGAAACTAGTTAGTATATTTTTTCTTAGAACAGTCTGTGAAGAAGGGCTTTATGTGTGGAGAAACTTTAATATAATTTTTTGCATAATGTGCTAACAAAAAAGTTTTTTTTAATTAAAGTTTCCTAAATCCTGTATGCTATGGGGAAAAATATAGGTTCTATTTACATAATTAAGAATGTAGAAAGCAGAAACTGTCTTTAAAATGTTCCTTCTTTGTAATTAGATGCTTTATGTTGATGATTGTAGAATAAAACTTGGGTATTTGTTGGATTTATAGCTCTAAGTTTTTTTTAATGTATTTTTTAGGCTCCACTGTCTTTAATGTCCTCAGAGGAGTTTTGGAGGTGGTAATTGGTATGGCAACTGGATCTGTTCTAGGATTTTTCATTCAATACTTTCCAAGCCGTGACCAGGTGAAAGAAATAATCTGTGGGAAGGTTGTGCTCTCAAATATCATTGGGAAAACATTCTAGAATACTTCCTTCAAAGACAGATATGAAAGGCATATTTGAGCAAATGGGCCCTCATTTTAAAGTTACTTATTGCTATATCAGTGCTGTCCATGAGATTTATGAAGTGGGCTCAGTATGGAAGATTTTAATATGGTCCTGTAATTTGTTTCTGTTTAATATTTTGTATATTTAAAATTTCACTATAAAATAAATAATATCAGTTCCAAAGTAATTGGATATGCAAGTTTTTAAAATATTCATAATACTTAACTAAACCCAAATGTATAGTAGCTTTTTTTATTATCCTTTTTAGTACCAAAATACCTTAGCTTCTAGCCAGGCCTGGTAGTCCCAGTCACTCAGGAGGCTGAGGCAAAAGGATCCCTCTGGGAGTTTGAGTCCAGTCTGGGCAACACAGCAAGAGCCCATCTCTAATACATACATACATACACACACAACACACATACATAAATCAGTCAATCATCATCTAGTGCCACTTTGTTGAGTACAACAGCGGCTAGCTACATGTGGCTATAGCAGATCTAGAATGGTTCCATCATCACTAAACATTCTATTGGAAAGCACTGCTCTAGTACAATCCACAAAATAGTTCATAAAGAGATTCTATTACCATGACCATTTTACTGATAGGGAAATTGAGGCTTAGGCAGGGTAAGTGACTTGAACAAGGTCACATTGCTAGAAAGCAGTGGAACTGGGAATAAACTCAGGAAATTCACCTCCAGAGCTTGCATGCCTTTGCCAAGTCAAGCACTTTAAAGACCTACTTTCTAAAGTGATCAACAAGTTTCAAAGGCCAAACAGGGAAAAGTAAAGGGGAAAAAATTACGCAATTATTAGACTTTAAAACAACAGCAACAAAAACTACTGTCAGTCTAGAACCTCTTAAAGCTTCCTGGTATTCAAAGATTTAGAAAGAAAAACCAAGGGAACATCAAATTTAAAAGAGGAAATATAAAGCCTGAAAATAAAGAGATAGTTATTTAACCTTCACACAAACCCTATAATATGAATGCTTTCAGGAAACAAGGCTTGGAGAGGTTAAGCAGTGTGGACACTACATATGCCAATGATGTATAAAAGCTTAAGTTTAACCTTGGTCTGTCCAGCTCCAAAGCTCATGTACGTTTTTTCTGCTACTTCATTAAGTGCTGTGAAATTCTGCATTGATAACTGCAGAAGAATTGGTGTTCCTGAAAGAACCCACCTTTGTAGTGTGCTAACTCTGCTTTTGTTGAAGAAAAGAAAGTAAATGTTATGTTGTACACTTTGTCTATTTACATAGTCATTTTAATTTTAATTTTCTTTCTAAATCCTAGATATGGAAAAATCTATTAATCATTAAAAATCAGGGATTTGAAATAATTGATCGAATGAATTTTTTCTCCTAAAGGACAAACTTGTGTGTAGGAGAACATTCCTTGTGTTGGGGTTGTCTGTGCTAGCCGTGTTCAGCAGTGTGCATTTTGGTTTCCCTGGATCAGGAGGACTGTGCACGTTGGTCATGGCTTTCCTTGCAGGCATGGGATGGACCAGCGAAAAGGTGAATTTCATTTTAAGTTCTTCTCCTCGTGATTCTTTTCTGATGAGATTAATTGCTTTCCAGATACTTTCTTAGCATCAAGTTAATAAAACATTTAATTATAAAAGCTATATACAGTAATGTGTATATACAAATGTATACCCAGCGTTCATCTTTTTTTCCTCTTACACATCAATCTATAATTTGATGTCTTTACTTAAAATATATCATGGTCATACTACCATAATGCCTTCCTTATCCTACGTAATGACTACGGAGTATGGCATTTTATAGATATTTATGTTGTTTTTAGTTTTCTGCCAAGATAAACAGTGCTTCAATAATATATCCTTAATACCATATTTCACAAACTCTGAGTCTGTCAATTCTAAAAAACACAATTATTTTATATGTCACCTAGAAAGAAAAAAAGTGCCAATTAAACTATAACCTAACATTCTAATCTCAGAAATGTAAAATATAAAACTGTGTGTCTTAAAATCAACAAAATATAATGTATATTTTAGTTTATACAATATATTTCTAGAAATAAGATTGCTCCAGGAAAGAGTATGCACATTTATACTTTTGTTAGTATCAATTTACCCTTTTAAAAACTGTACCAATTTATATTTTTACCAGTATTATGTGACAGGATCTGTGTTTCTGAATACAAGTCTTTCAGATATTGCTGATATTATGAATGAAAACTGTATCTCATTATTGGTTAATATGTATTATGGAAATTCACTGGTTGTCATTTATTTAATTTCCAGATGCATTTTTATAGATTTGAACTTGATAGGACTGTATGCTATTCTGCTTAATGAAGACGTTGGTGACCTAAAATAAATGTAGCTATATATCATTTTGAGATAATCGTATAAAGCCTGAAGACAACTGTTAAAAATAATTACGCTTGAATTATTAAAATAATACCATATGGAAAGGTTACAAATTTTCAGATGAGATATATACTCAGTTAAGTGGATCTCTGTGGGGATCTTCCATAGGTAGCATTCGTTGTGGGTAAATCTTCCATAGGTAGCATTCAAATAGGAGGCTATTATTCTGCAAGGATGTGATTATAAAATTAGGACAAGTATGATTGTGAATCTTCTCATTTTGGAGAGAGGGAGGATAAATTGGTAGAGGCTGCCTGGAGCTTTGTGTTCAGAAGCATGTTGAAGCCACAAAATGGTCTCAGATGGATTGAGTGGGCATGAGAGGGAAAAGGTGAGAATCACTTTTAAATCCTGCTCTAAGTACTAGATGGGCACCTAGGTTTTCTGTGTTGTCAGGAGGCTTGGCTATGAAGCTTATTTCAGGTGTACTTTTTTTTTTTTTTATCAGCACCTGTATTATCAAATTCTACTTCCTGATTTCAAGCAGCATAACACCCAGCGAGAGCAAAGCTAAAAGAGAAATTTCCTACTATAAATTGGATACTCTTAGCCCTCATCCCTCATAAACACTTGCAGTTATCAAAACATTTGTTTGTGTATGGCTTCACTTTCCTTCCAAGCTAAAGCAAGGGTATTACCCATCACTGGTCAGTCTTCTATCTAATCTCAGCTCACTACAAAGGGGTATGCTGCCTCCCTGCTTCTCTCTGAGAACTCACTGCTAGGTGTCTACCTTCCTACCCTGGGCTGCTAACTAATGTACCCTCTTTGAAGCACACTGATCTATTTCTTTCCCAAAGACAAAGACAACAGTTTTGACTTAGTGATGGGTTGCTATTGCATTTGCATTGGGACCTCTTGTGCAGCATCTTGCAAGTTTGCCTGAAATTAGCATTTTATAAACTGCCCCCTAATTTTGTTATGGTAATCTTTATTCAGGATAAAAATAATAAAGAGAATTTTTTTAAAAAATAAAGTTTATTTCTGAGTGTGAAAATGGCATATGCTTATTGTTGAATTTAGGAATTTTTTTAAGTCAGAAAGAAAAGGAAAAAAATTATAATCCTGTCACCCAAAGCCAATAGCTTTGTAATGACTTGAATATTTTGACATATTTCAGCAGGAAAGTTCTCAAACATGTAGTAAAAATTAACGTTTTAAGGTGTATTAGTTCATTTTTACACTGTTATAAAGAACAACCAGAGATTGGGTAATTTATGAGGGAAAAAGGTTTAATTGACTCACGGTTCCTCAGGCTTAACAGGAAGCAAGACTGGGAGGCCTCAGGAAACTTACAGTCATGGCGGAAGACAAAGGGGAAGCAGGCACTTTCTTCACACGGTGGCAGAAGACAGAGAGGGTGTGCGCATGGAGAGGGAGAGGGGGAGAGAGAGAGAGAGAGAGAGAGCACATGAAAGGAAAGGAGGAAGTACCACACACTTTTAAACCATCAGATCTCCTAAGAGATCTTCTCCAATTTGACATGAGATTTGGGTGGGACACAAATTTAAATCATGCCAAGAGTGTAACAGAAATGCCTTCTTTCACTACCTCTTTAAAAATCTTTGCAAATTGAAAGCAGCTCATTATATGATACTGTCATGGGTAAAGAGAAAAGGGAACTAATAATTTTTTGTTGCTACTCTGTATGGGTCTGTATGAGGCACTAAGTGGATATTGTCATTTATTTTCACAAAAATACCTTTGAAAAAGTATTATGATTTCTACTTTATAGAAACTATAAGTCAGAAAGACTTAACATATTAGAAATATGTTAAGAAATATGTCACCAAATTAGAAAATGGCACTGAGATTTAAGCTCAGATTTATTTGACTCCAAGTTGACTTGTACTATGCTGTAATACATAATATAATAATGTAATAATAGCATTATTGTACATGATACAATTTTACATTTTGACATCTGTTTAAGTAACATCATGTGTATTAAAAACATAATTCTAAACTTTTACAGTTTAAAATTGTTTCTAAATTCAAAAATGATAGGATAAAAAGAATAAACAATAAGAAGGAGCAATATCATTTGAAACAGATCATATAGCTTTAGCAACAGGGAAAGCAAGGAGAGACTGATACCTCATGCCAAGTGGACACTGGATATGAGCACAGAAAGAAAAAGGAGGGGAAGGGAAACTTTGATACTTCCAATTATACTGTTATTTAGCGAAACTATAATGGAGGTTATCTAGAAAAGATTTTTATAAACCAAACCAGTGTTCCCTTTGAATTTCCTATAGCCCCACAACATAGAAGGTCAGTGTAATCCCACAACTAGAAGGATAATTATAAACATTTTTTTAAATATTTACCTCTAGTAACTAACTCTCCTGTGTGAATCTCTTTATCTGCACACATGGATGCACCATAGTTGTTTTTGTTTTTTTTTCCAAGTCCTTTATATATAGTTATAAGGTTATTTCCAGTCACCACTATTTTAAATTGTGCTGAAATGATCAGAAATTGATCACTTCCTTACTAAAGATTCCTGACAGTAAAATTTGGAAGTTAAATAATGTTAACATTTTGAGGTTTTTGACACATATTACTAAACTGCTTTCTAGAATTGTATCCATTTACTTTTCTGCACGTAAAATATGAAGTACATGTCTCATTACAGCTTCCCCTTAGAATAGCTTTCTCAAACTTTAGCAGGACTGGATTGTTAAATTAAGAGTGCTGCGTCCTACTGCCTATTTCTGATTTTAGACTGTGGTGGGGCTTGAGAATTTGCACTTCTAATTAATTTCCAGATGAGGCTGATGATGCCAGTCTAGAGACTACACTGTGAACCACTGGGTTAAAATAGTAGTGATTTTAATCTTTAGCCATACTGATAGGTAAAAGTCACATCTTGTTTATTTTGTGTTTCTTTAACAGTGAAGTTGAACAGTTTTTCACATATTTGGCCACGTGTATTTTTTTCTTTTTGTTTGGTAGCTTTTTGTTCATTATCTTCTGAAGTATAATGTGTATTGATTATTGTTAGAAATAAAGCTTGGAGTCATAAGCAAAAAGAGCATTGAAACAAAGAATTTCTCAGCAAAGCAAATTTACTTCTGCTCAGAAGTGTGCCTCTTGTAGGGCCGATTGCCACAAGAGCACACTGAATAAAGAAAAGGAGAAGCTTTTATTCCTAATGCAATTCCTGCCTCTGTGTTCTTTCCCCATTGGCTGGGAGTGGATCCCACAGTCTAAACTAGACCCAATTGACTAAACATTTAAACTTTCTTAGATAAGGTAAATGAGTGATGGGAGAGAAGAAAGGAGTCAACTGTGGCGGACTAGGGAGCCAGTCCTTTCCCAAATAAGGAAAGGTATGTGAGCTGGGGCTGTGGCATGCCTGGCCATGTAGTAAAATTAGAAAGAAGAAAAGGAGAAGAAAGAGAAGGTGGGAGGTACTTGGAATTAAAGAATAAGAGGCTGAGCAGCCTGTCTGAAGAGAAACCTTGCCATATCTCACAATTATCCACCTGTAAGATACACACACCCCCAATACACACATCTATGTAAGTGATAATACAGTCTTCATTACCCTGGGGCTTATCTTTTATACATAGCCTATTCAATGACTCCATTTTCTTTATAGGCAAATTCATTTAGTTTGACAGTATGAAAATGCCACAACAAGATACACTGTGACTTTTCTATGTCTTTTATATGTTTTGCAATATATAGGCCCACGTCTATGTTCAACTAGTCTAAAGTGTTATAATCAAATACAAATTGTGGCTTTTGTCTACACTTTAGAAATAAAAAATAATTTGATATAGCAATCTTTTTAGCCTTTCTACTTTCATTACTATCCTGAGTGTATGAAATACATTTGAAGACTTCTGTTAAACAATTAGTCACAGCAACAAAAGTCTAAGTAATTTTTGTACTATTTTATATTGTTCACTTTTAACACTCAGATATCTTATATTTTCATGTAGTCAGATCTATCAGTCTCTTACAGTTCTAATTTTTTTGAAGAGCTCTTTGTTAGTGAAATTATCTCACTTAACAATAATCTAGAAAGGTAGATAGTAGAGCAGCTTTTAAAATCAGGACACGAAGGTTTACAAACATTGAGTAGATTATGAAAGTCAAAAATAT